TGGGATTAAAGGTGTGTGCCACCACCGCCCAGCTGAAGACCTACATGAGTCTGATCCCCAGAACCACATAGTGGAAGGAAGGAGCTGACTCCTATAAGTTGTCCTCTGATTTCCACATATGTTACGGCTTTTGATTTTTCTTTAAGTAAGGTCTTACTAGCAAAAATATTTGAATACAGTTATAACAGTCTGGTTGGATGGCCTGCCTATTCCTTATCAGCACTCATGGGTTTCACTACAGATGCAGGTGGTGGTGGGCAGTGCCATTTACTAAAACACAGAGGAAACTTAAGTTCACATTGAACTCTTTCATTTAAAGAAATTTCATTTGCTTCTTCTAATCAGTATTATCTGGGAAGGTGGGGGGTGGGGAAGAATGAACATTTTTCACTGCCTTAGGTTAGCTATCTTAGAAGGCCCTTTCCCTCACAATAGAGATTGTTTTCTTATGCATATAGCTAACTCAGATTCCAAGTTTGAATTGTAGAAATTAAAAAACAACAGCAATAACAAAAACCTGATTAGAGCAAGTGATCTAAGTAAGGAAGATATGAAGGGGTAAGAGGCTGGTAAGCTTGAAGTCCCCAGCTAGCAAGCCCACAGCTTGGCGCAGACTTACCTGTTGAAGTTCTGATGAGGAAGAACAGTGAGACATGAAAATATATTCTTTTGCTGGAGAGATGGCTCAGCGGTTAAGAGCACTGCCTGCTCTTCCAAAGGTCCTGAGTTCGATTCCCAGCAACCACATGGTGGCTCACAACCATCTGTAATGATATCTGGCGCCCTCTTCTGGCCGCAGGCATACATGCAGACAAAATACTGAGAATACTGTACACATAATAATAATAAATAAATAAATCTTTAAAAAAAAAAAAAAAAAAAAACGGGGCTGGAAAGATGGCTCAGTGGTTAAGAGCATTGCCTGCTCTTCCAAAGGTCCTGAGTTCAATTACCAGCAACCACATGGTGGCTCACAACCATCTAAAATGTGATCTGTATGCCCTCTTCTGGCCTGCAGGCAGACACACAGACAGAATATTGTACACATAATAAATAAATATTTTAATAAAAAAAAAAAAAAGAAAATATATTCTTTAGTCCCTATGTTTTTGTGTCCTTGAATATATAATAAGGACTAAAGTAAAACATTTTCTAGACTTGTCAGAAATTTTACCACAGTTTGCTATTTTCTTAAGTTGACTTAACCTATTTGTAAAAATAGCCTCTAAATTATTTTCAAAATTAATATGAAAGCATAGTGTTTAGAGTTTAGTAAAGATTTTGTTGCCAGGATGTAAACTGCATTGGTGTAGTTGAGAGACTAATTGTGTAGGTGACAAAACCCAGCCAGTTGTGGATAACAGTGTAACAGGAGTAGAATGAGAAGGGCTTGATTTTGTTAAATCATTTTCACTATAAATTATTTGATTCGAATGGCTAAAAGCCTGTGTCAGAAAGATAAACTTTAAGAGTGCCATATAAAAAAAGACTCTTCATATAAAACTGAATGAGGAGCATAACAGTTTCTTGGAGATTCTCGCCAACCAGCCCAGTGATACTTAAACAACAGTTTTTAAATGTTTTTCTGGTTTAACAATATCTTAAGTGGCATTTTAATGCCCAGGAAAGTGTCTCTAGGGATAAGTTCCATCTTGGCTCCTTCTAGCCGTTGGCTTTGTCTATGATGGAAGCAGATATGGTTCAATGTCCAGGTTCCTGGACTAAGAGAGCTTTATTTCATAGTGACCACAGTGGTCTAAAAAGCTTCCTGCTTTGTGGTTATACTCTTAACAACCTCTGTCTCTGAAAAATGGCTTGTGGGTTCTTCTGACTTTTAAAAATAGTTGAACTTGTGTCCTAAATGCAAAGAAGGATTGATAGAATTTGGGCAGATGCAAAGAGTGATTCTCAAAACCTTTTTAATTTTTATCATGGTGCTTGAAAATTTGAGTATTAGATTTGTGGTGTAGCTCTGTTGATAGAGTTATGGCCTAGCTTGCATAAGGCCATGAGTTGAGTTCCTCAGCACATTAAGCACATTAACTGGGCGCGATGGCACATGCCTGTAGTCAGAAGGTAGAGGGGGAAGAGGGCCAGAAATTCTAGGTCATCCTCAACTACTTAGCAAGTTCAAAGCTAACCTGGCATATGTGGGACTGTTGAAGGAAGGAAGGAAAGAGGGTGAGAAGGAAGAAACAAATGAATAAATGAATCAAATACTAATTTAAAACTTAGGAAGTTCCACATGCTGATACAATGGGAATGCTTTTAGGAGGTCAACTGTGTGAATAGGGCAGTGTGCTATTTCGGGCCTCTAGTATTTAGCAGGGAAAATGACTGACCGCTCAATGAATTATAATTCTAAAAATGGCTCCCTTTTCCCAAAATAAAGGTGCCCTAAGTGTTATCTGTGGCTGTGGAGCCTCATTAACAGGTGCAGCTGGAATAGCCACAACATTGCCATGCAGAAAAACTAAATACAGCAGGCCTTTGAGTAACAGAGCAAATATAGGAATACCTGCATTCTTCTTCCACGTTTGCCTCTGCTCTGTTGTATTGTTTCTACTGAAGTATCTGCTACTTCAAGTTAAGAGAACAAACTCAAAATGGCCTGAATTCCAGCACAGCCATTCATATTCATCATAGTTCTATTTTACCAACCACAAGCTCGACCAACTTCTTTGTAAGTAAGAATAAACTGTTACACAAGGCACAATAGTAGCTTTGACCCTATGTAAGTGTTTACAGTGTGGGCTCACCTGAGAGTAACTTTACTTTACCACAACAGGGTGACTAGTAGAACAAATCAGGCTAGGAAGAACAGTACGAAACCCTTGCTATCCATTTTTAAACTAGTATTTATTGGACTGGGTTGCTAAAGATGCTAAAAATTATCAAATTAATAATAACAATTGACTTAGGTAAAAACCGTCATTGGATGCCTACAAATGTGATGAGGACTAGATTTACCTGGGAGATGCCTCATTGCAGTGACTAACGTTATTACCAATAGTGACACCACGTGCCTCCTAATATGACACCTCCTGAAGGTACTTCTTTGTCAGCAGTACATAATCTGACTCTAATGGGAAAACACCAGAGAAAAACCAATTGAGGGACAATCTACGAAGTGACTGACCTGTATTCAAAAACTGGTGACAATACAAGGGCATAAGTAACTGTTGGATCCGAACAGACTCAAATACAAGTTTGATCCAAAATTTTTCTTCCTTTTTATTTTATTGCCATTTTAATCTTGTACTAGATATTGTTCTATACTGAAAAGGGGAAATGACTTTCAGTTAATAGTCTGACTGTAACTTACATTTGCTTTCTCCTCCCTTACTCTCTGATTTTATATGGATTTTAAGTGGTGGTATAGATTTTGCTTTTTATTTCCTGTGCAACAATCTATAATATCAATCATTGGATTAATTTAGCTACATTTTAAGCTGTTGGAAACTCAGGCTAGAGATGTAGATTTAGTGGGAGAGCTCTGCCTGGCGTGCACAGAGCCCCGGATTTGAGCTTGAGGACTGAAAGGCAAAAACAAAAACAGCTTTTGTGTGGTGCACACCAGCCATCCTTGCACTTAGGGGCTGAGGTGGGAGGATCACTGCCAGCCTGGCCTACATCGGGAGATGCTGTTTTTTTAAAAAAGTAAAGTAAAATGTGATAATTCTTATTTTACCAAAATATGAGCGTGTATCTCTTAAGTCTCATGAACACTTAGTAGGGCCACTAAAATGAAGGAGTTCAATGTGAGTCTTAGACAGACAGGTAGATAATGGGATGCTTCATTTGCAGGAAGGCAGACTTGGATGGTCATTTGATTTTTGTGCAAACAGGATAAGGGAATTGAGTGATTGTAGTTAATTGAATGAGTAATTAATTAGATAAATTAATTAATCAGATAACTGTACCCAAGATTATGATTGGCTGTTAGTCCCATAAATGGTTTCTGGTGCTGTAGTAGCTGCTGAGAGCAACTTGCAATCCTGTTCTAAGATTTAATTAGTAACTTGAATAAAGGCCCTTCATGGCACATGGGTCTCAGTTTTAGGTGACCCAAACCTAAAGCACAGGGTGATAAGAGCAAGAACTGAAAATGATAAGCAGGGTCCTAACTCAGGTGGACAGCGGCCAGAAAGAAGCAACATCTTATGGGTCTTTGGCTGCCAAAGAGCTAGCTAATGATTTAAAGTATTTGGTTTAGTGTATGGATTGAGTCTTCAGGAACATGGTTATAACAGGTGGTTATAAAGCTGTGAGGTGAAAGGGAATGCTAGTTGTTAAAGAAGCTGTAACCATAGGACAGCCCATGCGACAAGAATGTTGAAGCAAAGAAGGTCACCATTCAGGGCTCCCCCACCCATCACTCCAGCTTCTGAAGAGGGAGCATTACTGTATAATTACAGATGTCCATCTGTTTGAGAAACCAAATTATATAAGTTGTATTTGACTATCTCTTCAGTCTTAAAAATGGTTCTGAAAATAAAATATAATAAGATTTTATTTTATCATGTTGTCCTATGCTGTTGCTTCCCCCAGTCTTCAAAATAGCGTTCCCACTAATATTCCCACCTCAGTTGGATTAAATGATCTTTAAGAATATTCATAGAAATGTAAATGAGAGCGGGCAGCGGGGGAGGGAGAGAGAATATATGAGCTCTTTGAGACAGGGTTTTCCTTAAACTCACCATCCTCCTGACTCAGCGTCGTATTAAATTCTGGAATTGCAAACTAGTGCCACCATATTTGGCTTCAGATAAGGTTTCCCTTCAAAATACGGCAGCTGAGCGGGGTGGTTAGACGTTCTCTTTGTATGTGTACTCTTGTCATCTTTTGCACTGAAGCCCTTTAGCATTATTATGTGGACTTGATAACAAGTGTTTTAAGATACAAAATATTTGTCATTATCTCTGAAACATTGGAGAATGAGGTTTAGAATTGATTTCTCTTTTTCCCTCCCTTTTCCCCCCCAAATATTGCTTCTTTAGGTCAGTAACAGATCCAAGAGATGGAAAGAGAGTAGCACTCAAAAAGATGCCCAACGTCTTCCAGAATCTGGTCTCTTGCAAAAGAGTCTTCCGGGAATTGAAGATGTTGTGTTTTTTTAAACATGATAATGTAAGTGCAATTGGTGTTTGGGGGAAACTATTTACTAGACTTGGTTCGCTGACTCAGTTGAGAACAACAGTGAGTGCAGAGGGAATAGAATTCAGTTGTAGTTTTATGTCGAACTCAGAGCAGAAAGTATAGTGTGGTACTTTGAAATACCTGTTGGCAGGCTTCATTCCACATGATCTTGCTGAAAAGGTCACAACAGAGGAGTCTTATGTCTCCACTGTTGGTGAGTGGTTCAAAGCTTCACAGTGTCTTAGAATCACTTCAGAGTCCATTTTTGCAAAATTTGACTTGGAGGTTTGAAAATTCTACTGCACAGCTCTGACTTACACAAGGCCTGATCCCAAATTAGAAACACCACGCACATTTGTTTCCAGGCTATCTTGGAATTACAGTGTAAATCTATTTGCTGTTTTTGTTTTTTGAGACAGGGTCTATGTAGCTCTGGCTGTCCTGGAACTGTTTATATAGGACCAGTCTGGCCTCGAACTCAGAGATCCACCTGCCTCTGCCTCCCAAGTGCTGGGATTAAAGGCGTGCGCCACCACACCTGGCTTGGGTTGTCTTTTTGATTCAAAGAATTTAAGCTACTAAATAAGTTTAAAAGCCCTCCACAAAGGAACATTTTTGTTGGGAAATAGATTAGAAAAAAATAACATAGCCAAGACTGAAACAAATTAGACTTTTTCTGTGATTGAACCATGAACAAATTTAAGTGGGTTCTAGATCAATTAACTGACAAACTAATATTAAGTGAAGCAAAACAAATGTTGGTATTTAGTTGAGGAATAATTCCAATATTCAGCACAAAAGTAAAGCATGTATTTATACGGGTAATTTAAGTTCAGGAATCATTGGCCCTTGATTTTAAATGTTTTGTTTTTATCTTTTAACATTTAGGTTAGAATGTAGGAAAAACAGTTTCTGCTATAAAGACAGGATAGTCCTGAAGGTAAGATAGATAGTTTGCTTCCGGCTGTTTAGAGATACAAAGACTCATTGCACTTTAAGAAACCACATCTCCTCAACTAATCCTGAGTTAGGCATCAGATTCATGTTAAGTTTACTTGGAGTTTCTTAGCACTGAACTGTTTTGTTTTCATGTGAAAAGAGCTGCCTCATTCTTCACATAGTACTCAACTATTTTTATTGTTGTAATTAAAACCTATCAAAAAATATTCCTTGTGAGTCTGTGCTTGACTGCACAGAAACCTTAGTAATTTTGGCCTAAGTTCCAGTCTCACTTCTTTTTTTTTTTTTTTTTGGTTTTTCGAGACAGGGTTTCTCCGTAGCTTTTTGGTTTCTGTCCTGGAACTAGCTCTTGTAGACCAGGCTGGCCTCGAACTCACAGAGATCCGCCTGCCTCTGCCTCCCGAGTGCTGGGATTAAAGGCGTGTGCCACCACCACCCGGCCAGTCTCACTTCTTATGTGCTAAAATGTATTTGCTTGGACTAAGACTATAAGACTTATTATATGGCTCACTGGAAGCTGCTTGGCTTGACATGTCTTGATTTATTGATTATCCTTCATGAACACCCTCCCTCTCTCCCTTCTTTCTTTCAAGACAGAGCCTTACTCTATCACATAGGCTGGCCTCAAACTCATGACAGTCCTTCTGCCTCATCCTCTAAGGGTTAGAATTATAGCTGTGAGCCACCATACTTTACTAAAATCACTTTTTTTTTCTGAGACAGGGTTTCTCTGTATAACAGCCTTGGCTCTCCTGGAACTGTGTAGACCAGACTGGCCTTGAACTCATAGACGTGTCTGCGTCCCACGTGCCAGAGTTAAAGGCGTGCGCCACTACTGCTTGGCAAAAATCACATTTTATTAAATTTTTCTAAAAAGTATTGCTGGGCTGGATAGGCATATGCAAGGCCCTGAATCTAATTCCCAGCCCTGGGGAAATGCTTCTTGTAGCCCACTCAAACTGCCTAGCACTGGCGTCTGTTTAAGTTTCAAAATGCCATTCAAGTTGTTGGTTTATACCTTTATAAATCAAGGCCCCTAGATTTTGGAAATGTATGCTAGAATGATGTCTCATGCTTGCTTAGTTCCTCATTTCTTGAATTCACCCCAGTACCACCCAACATCAGAGCACAGACCTGCTGTCCAATGCCCCTTTCCAGTGAAAGGATCTGATAAACGCTTCTTTCAGAGGAGAACTTTTAAAAAGGCAGTGGTATCACAAACTGCTGTTTAGCTTTGCTCACAACTCATTCCTATAAAGTAATTCAGTTCCTAAGGCAGTGCCAGAGTAAGTAGTGCAAGAAAGGAAACAATTCAGAAAATCGCTCCAGTTTAGACACACAGCCAGTTCTAATGGGGTTTGTAAGAGGCACCCTAAGATCAGAGCTGGGTTTGAACTGTAGTTCTGATAATTTGCTAATGATGTGTCTTTAGTTTGTGCAAGGTTTGAGCTTTCTTGTTTGCAAAATGAGCATGATAAAAACAGAAATAGTTGTCTTGAGTGTTATAGGAACTCAATTTTTTTCATGATGTGGACAGGTATATACAAACACTTCTTAGATCTCCCAAGCTCTGTCAGAAAAGTACCTGTGACATCCGTAGGAATATTTGACGTGAGTCACTAGTAGGATGTGAAGATGGTGTGGCAACACTGTTTTATACATAACCAGTTTCTTCTTTGTTTCAGGTCTGTCTCAGCACCAATGTGCTTGGTATATGTAGACTGCCAATCTTAAGAGGCAACCGATATTTGATGTAGCTAAGCCACAATTGGTCCTGTGGGGAAAGTGCAGTAACAGGTCAGATTGAGGATGCAAAGAGCTGGGCGTGGTGGCACCTGCCTTTAAATACTCTGAAGGCAGAGGCAGGTAGGATCTTTGTTGAGTTCAAGGCCAGCCTGGTCTAATACAGAGTTCCACACCAGCCCACACCAGCCAAGGCTGTGTAGTGAGGCTTGTCTCAAACAAAAACAATTTTGAAACACTGTCATTTTTGAAGGGGATAAATCCAGCTGTTTAACGCTTACTGTTATATATAGAAAAGTGTGCTATATGCTTACGTACACTCATTTATTTTCTTCATAAAAATCTTACAAAGTAGGACTCGTTAATCCCACTTTACAAAGAAACCAACGACTTATCTCCCACAATCTTGATCACAGTTAAAAATCTGGCTCCAAACATGAATGAGCTGCTAATTCACATAGCAACTTGGATAAATCTTACAGGCATATGTGTATAAAAGAAACTGTGTAGACCAGCAAACAGTACGCCTCAGCCAAGAGAGATACCTGAGTCACCCCTAGGACCCCCGTGGTAGAAGGAGAGGATTGATTCCCACAAGTTGTCCTCCACCCCAACACTTGCCACGACACACATTCACCCCTCCACATACACACAAAAGAAATGAATGAAAGTATAATTTGGGGAGATCTTTTTGTTTTTTGAGACAGGGTCTCTGTAGCCCTGACTGCCCTTGACCTCACTCTGTAAATCCCACTAGGCTTAACTCACATCCATCTACCTCTAATTCCCCTACTCCTGAGTACGCCACCATGCCCAGCTTGAAAAAAAAAAAAGAAAAAGAAAGACAGAAAACAAGAACATCTTAAAAGCTGTACATAAGAGAGTGTGTGTAATTTTGATTCAATTTATGTAAGGTTTAAGAATTATAGTGTCAAAAGTTAGGGTTGTTTCTAAAAGGGAGGAAAGGCACTTTTTAAGATGTTGAAATGCTTAATTTCTTGTAACTTTTACATGACTGTATATGCATAAAATTCATCAAATTATGTTCTTAGAATTTGTCACTTTGTTACAAACATGTAGCAATGATATCGTTCCTCTCCCTTAAGAGAATGCTAGTCGTAGAACTTCATTGGTGTGCTTGTGTTTTACTCTTGTCTTTGCATCCGTGGCAGAGTAGAAGCTCTTGTTTGTTTGGTGAATGATGACTTAGGTTTCTGTCACCTCCACCACCACCTAAGAGGAGCTTGTGCGTGCTGGTCAAGTGCTCTACCACTGAGCTAAATGGCTAAAGTTCTTGTCTTTAGACTTAAGATCATTCCTCATAATGGTTTTACTGATAAAAAGACAACTGGAACTTAGTTACATGGTCACCATGTAAACCCTGTCATGAATCTTCTAAGTCATCTTTTCACCAGTTCTTCAGAGAACTGAGGAGTGTGCACTTCTCGTCATGACCATCGTTTTTAAAAAGTAGATAAAATCTGGTGGGGTTTCTTTTGATTTGGGGTTTTGTTTTGTTTTATGCTGGATCTCATTATGTAGCTCTGGCCGGCCTGAAGCAAGTGGACCGGCTAGGCCTTGAACTCAGAGATCTTCCTGTTTCTTCCCGAGTCTCACCACACTTGGCTACATTTTAACTCCTTTGGTTTTTTTTTTTTTTCTTGTGGGTGATGGGGATACTTGGCTTCCTTCCGAGGCACCTTTATAAGTGCCTTTCTGTTTACATCAAAAGGCTAATTTTTCTTCCATTTCCCCAAGTGATGGTGGAGTCGAGAAATTCCTGGCTGTTTAGCTGGGAGAGTTGCGCAGCTCAGTGTTGGCCATCTCTAGCATCCTGTATCACTTGCTCATCCACATTGCTTTTGAGGTCCTAGGCCCTTTTTGCTGGTCTGAGTACTGCTTTTGTTCGTGGAAACACTGTGCTATGCACTGCTAGTAAACATTTAGATTAAAACAAAACAACAGGCATAAAAACTTCCAGGCAGAATTAAAGCAGTCAGCAGCGAAATGGGGTGGGGCAAACGTCTGACAGTGTTTGTGGCTTTTCTATGGGAGCCTCATCCAGCACGGAATAAGAAAGCCTCATTCTTCTTAAAATAGGGTTGTCACTTCCCACTAGATAACCTCTAATTAGCACAGATAGATTTGAAGTGTAAAGTAGCTGTGCCTAATAGACACTGTCACTCTTTGCGTCTGTTTTCTCCCAAGCCGAGTGCCTCTTGCTCAGGTGCAGAGGTGAGAATCTGGAAGATACCTAGTGACATGCTGCTTTCCAATCACTCCCGAGCTTCAGACATTTCTGTTAGTTTTTCTGATGTGACACAAGTAGGAAAGTTATACAGATTTGCTACACTGTCTGACTAAAGATTTTAAAGTATATAAAAGTGAGGTAATTGTTTTATAGGATAAAAATTTTCTTTGAAGAAACTGGAAAACATTTTCTGCTTATCAAAATTCTAAGTATAAACATTTTAATTTAAAAAGAAATCTTTATAGAATCATCCAGACTATTTAAAAACCTCTATGTTCAACTGGTTTTAACTTGAGGGAAGGCTCTTTCATTAAAGAAAGGTTTAACTGAAAACAAATTTTTGAAATGGGGTCTCACTGTGCAGCCCTGGCTGACCTTGAGTTTCTTGTATAAACAGGCTGGCCTCAGACTCAAAGAGAGACAGCTGCTTCTCCCTCCCAAGTGCTGGAATGAAAGGCTTGTGCCACCTACCTGACAACATATCTTAATTTAGAATTTTAAAGTGGGGCTGCAGAAATGGCTCAGTGGTTAAGAGCTGCTGTTTCAGAAGGCCGGTATTCAATTCCCAGCACCCACAAGGCAGCTCACAACTGTCTGTAACTCCAGTTCCAAGGATCTGACACCCTCACACAGATATACATGCAGGCAGAACACCAATACACATAAAATAAAAATAAATTAAAAAACTATAAATAAAAATTTAAAGTGAAGAACATGTGATTTAAAAAAAAAAGAGCAACATGGGCTGGAGAAATGACACAATAGTTAGGAGCACTGGCCCTTCTTCCAGAGGGCCCGGGGTCAATGGCCACCAACCACATGGTAGCTCATAACTGCTTGTAACATCCATTCCAGGGGTTCTGATACCCTCATAAGACAAACATGCAGGTATAAACACCAATTTACATGGAATAAAAATAAGTAGTTTTTTTAAAAAAGAACAACCATTAAAGTAAACACGTTTTCTTGCACAGTTAAATTACAAAAGGAAAGAAAAGGGGTAGAAGAGAAATCTTTGTATTGAAATTTAAAAGTGATAATCAATCATAATTTATCTGTTTTTACTAATAAGCAGTTCATTTCAGTAGCCAGTTGTTACTTGTCATTAGTTAACAGCATTTACTTGCATTTGTGTCAAACTTTGTTTTCTTTTTCATTCTTTAAAGTTGACTTTGTGTTTTATTTTGTTTTTTTCCCTTTTCTCAGGTACTCTCTGCCCTTGACATACTCCAACCTCCACACATTGACTATTTTGAAGAGATGTATCCTAACCAGGGAATGTAAGAGAAGGGGACATTTAAAATTATTATTGTTTATTGCTTAACCTGTTTTACCACCTTTTGGTGGTTCATGTCATAAATTACATTGTCTCATCCTTGCAGAAGTGGTTGAGTACCTACCTGAAAACCAGGTAATTTTAAATCCTAAGTATGTAGAGGAGCTCACTGTTACCAAGAGGTCCTGTGTGGTAGCAGATGGATGTCTGGACAGATCTTGTATTTATTCTCCCATGTGGTTTTGTCAGCTATGTGATTACTATCCCGCTTGGCAGGCAACCAAAGAGGCAGCCATATTGTAGAGAAACCCTATGGAATGAGTGGCTTTGTTGTCATAACCGACAGCTGTCTGTCAACAGGATAATATTGTGCTTGCTTTTAACACTCAGGGTGTGGTGAAGTTAAATGTGTTCCATTAAACAAAATGACAGTAGCGGTGGTAGTGGTGGTTCTAACTATTACTATCTAGACGCCAAGCACACTAAGTTCTTTACACATATTTATTCCTTTAACAAACTGTTGTGTGAGGTACTGTATTTTCATTTTACAGATGAGCAAATTGAGGCACAAAAGGTAAGAAGCTTGGTGGAGATCACAGAGCTAGAAAATATTGGGATCAATGTTTAATTCAGTCTGGCTTGAAAGTATCATGTTCTCAATTCCTGCCTATGTGAATCTCTTCTGTTTCCACTAATGCTGCCTATAGATTGCTTGTTGGGTATCCAGAGTAATAACGAACAGTAAAGTAATGCATGTAACAGCTGTTGAGACTGCATGAGAAAAAGTGAAATATAGACAAGGCTGTCTGATAGTCGTAGGCTGGGTGTCACCAGTTTCCATTTGAAGGAACCCAGTGAAGCACCACGTTAAAGATGGGAGCTGGGTGAAGTCCCGAGTGTATGGTCTGTTGGTACAAGGGTTTTTATGGATACTTCAGTTATTCAGAATGAAAGCCAATTATCTGTTTCTTTTCTAATTCAGCACTGAAATGAAAATATTTACTGGTAGCAATAGCTGGTAATCCCATCCTAGACAACTGTAACCGGAAAGTGCTCCCAAAGAGTAAGAGAGCAGCTCAGTGGGCTAGGGAATGAGGAAACTTAGAAGGTGATTGTGGAGGCAGTGAGCCACACAGCTAGAGTGTTTCAATCTGATAAACCAAACTCTTAAGTGCTGTCACCCTTGGCAACATTTTAATCCATGAATCATTTATGAAATTGATCCTTTGTTGCAATTCAACGTGGTGCACTTGAGGTGGCTCAGCAATATACATTCCAAAGAAAGGACTTCTGACTTTTGTCCCTTGTCCAGCTCCTTGTTGATAAAAGAGACTTTGCATGCCTAATACTTTTGGGCCAAGCCAGATCATCTTGAGTGCATAAAACTGGTCCAGTTTGGCAGCACACATCCATAATCCCAGACTCAGGAGGCTGAGACAGGATCTTGAGTTTAACGTCAGCCTGGACCACATCGTGAATTCAAAGCCATCTTAAGACCATATCTTGGATGGATGGATGGATGGATGGATGAGGGGAAAGGAGGAGAAAGAAAAATTACCTAAGTGTCTGAAAGAAAAAGTGTTGGAAAAGTACTTTCTACTCAGTTTGCTACTCAGGCAGAAGCATTAATTACTGCATTTCATAGGCTTCGTGAAGTTGCTTGGAGAAAAGAAAGGTGCCATGGGAGTGAGCAGCACTTCTCTCGTCCCACAGAAGTGCCCTCTTAGGCTTGCCCAGGAGCTACCTTCTTTAACCTTTAAGTTGGTATTCTCAGTCTGAAGTAGTATTCCTACCTCTTTGGGAATGAAGTTGTTGAAAACAAACCTTTCTATCAAGAGAAATGTTCTTTTAGATACATATTTTACTCTATTACAGTTTGTATCAGAGGTTCCCAAGATTAACCTCAGGATTGTTAGACTTTCTGGAAGAACTCAGAGGACTCAGAAAAGCTGTTATTCTCGTGATTATAGTTTATTATAGCAAAAGACTACAGATTACAATCAGCAAAGGAGAAGGCTCATCAGGCGGGTGTGGGGTTCCAATTGTGCTCTTTCAGTAGAACAGGTGTCCCAGCTTTGATGTATAACAACGCGGGAAAGTCATGCCAACCAGAAAGGCTCCTTTGAGCCTGTATTGTGGGTCATGCCTAGTATGGAACCACCCATGTACCCAACTTTCATCTTCCGCCAATTCTCCCTCCCCTGCTAGAGGCCAAAAGAATACAACACAACACAAAGCCCTGGGCATACAAAAACAGGTGCTCAACAGGAATCGTATTGTAAGCATAAACTTAATGTGCCATAGCCAAAACCCCCAAGGATACAGTGATATCAGTATCAGGCAGATATTCTAGTGGCTCAAAGGTGATTTCCCAGCCTGAAGACTTTGGAATATGTAGGGTTTGACTAAATGTGGATAACTGAATTTGTCTTTGCTGTCCATAAATTATCTGTGGAGAAAGAATGTTTTCATTTAAAAGAAAACAAATGAGTATGCGCACACTAAATAGCACATTTAAAGGTTCAAGTGAAGTGAAAGTAGCACATTTCAATTGACTTCATTGAACATTGTCTAATTCTAATAACCATGTTGTCTACATTATAGTTGAGTCACAGATTGTTTATATTAAAGATTAATTTTGTGTTCTAAGGTTTGTTGGTCCTTTAAAAAGGATGAAGATGGCTTAGCAGGGTAAGGGCACTGTCTTCAAGCCTGACCATCTGAATTTGATCCCTGGGATCCACATGTTAGAAAGAAAAAGCCAGCGTCTGACCTCCACACATGCACGTCTCTCATACACACTCACAGACACACAATAAACATGTAAATGTAATGGCATGGAATCTCTATCAGGGAGGGATTTTTGGTCACTTATTATCAACCACCATTTCATTGTTCCTGAGAAAATCTTGATTCATCATGATTTCATATATTTCCAAAAGAAAAGTTAGGAGAGTTAGGTTTTAAAATCATGGGTGGCATAGCTATCTTAGTAGTGCTAGTAGTCATTTTCAACCCATTTTATTAATTAGTACATGTTTATGATTCATTAAGTAAAGGACCTTTGTCATAAATACTCAGGGAGTCTTCTTAAAGTTTTCTTAAACATTTACTCTTTTTATTCTGCTTTATCATATCACTTTGTAGCTTTCTTTTAAAATTGACTCATTGCTCTTAAAGTAATGGAAAGAAATCTTTTAACTCTAAACCTCAGTATTCTTATGTTTCCTGTCTTATAATTTTTGCTTATATATAGAATCATGAAAAGAAAAAAGGCAATTAATCTCTGTGTGGTGTTATTTGTAAAAACTGTATGCTTTAACCATGAGGAGGGCCATACCTGTGGCTGCCGGAGAAGGCGTGGTTAGCTTAGACAGCAGGAGAGCAGCTGGCAGGTGAGAGTGAAGGAGACGCCTTGGTTCCATGTGTGCTCTGTCATTCTGAAGCTTTCAGTGTCCTAAAAGGAGCTGTCTGCTTTTGTTTTCCTGTGATGCAGATGAAAAAAACAGTCTTTAGTTTCTCTTCACACAGATATATTAAAGATTATATATTAAAAATACAGCTATATTAAAGATTAATAGAGGCTCAAGTTACCATATGAATTGGATATATTATTTGTCTATGTCAGAGCCCCCTCTATGGTATCTCAGAAATATGCACACATATTATACACATGGTTTTAGATAGTGGGTCATTTTTCTCTTTTGGAGTGTTGCTATGTCTTTGTGAGTTTTAGAGTAGATAATATTTTGGCTTTTAAATACAACTGGCCGTCTTCTGGTTGTGCGTTCCATAGCTAGATTTCAACCATCCTTAGATGGAAATATTCATGAGAAAACTTCATCTGTACAAGTGTGCACAAATTCCTTATCATTTTTTCCTAAACAGTATGACAGATATTTACACAATGTACATGTTACATTAGGTATAAATCAACCTGAAATGTCCTAAAGTAATGAGAGGAGCTGGCAATATAGACCAGTGCTTAGAACATTTGTCCAGCGTGCACAGGGACCTGGGTTCAGCATCCCTGCACAGGAGGATCTATGTAGATGATATGCACCATGTATTTGAGGTATTTTAGTATCTGATGTAGGGCATAGAAACAAGCTCACAAAGATGCTGTGGGAAGCACATTGTATATAGTCATGGCATAGTGCTGTTAGGCACTGTTTCTGAAGCCTACTTGAGACTTGTTTTAGACAAGTTCTAAATATATTTATTCTTACACATGCTGGACTTGTTTGTTGGGTATTTAATTGAAGAGATCAGTTCTTAGACTCAGTCTATCTCTTTGTTTCAACTCTCTCCCCCACCGCCCTCACCTCTTGTGTGTGCTCACACATATATTGCCTAAATTGTGAGGGGAAAGAAGTAATCTCCTGTTGTACATACATTTACCACATAGTTACACTTTGTCTAAGGTAAGGAAAATTGTTATGTAATTCACTTTTAATACACAAATATTTTTAAACCAGAAGGTGGGACTGGAGAGATGGTTCAGCTGTTAGGAGCATTTACTGATCTTTCAGAAGGCCTGAGTTAAGATCCAGTATGTATATTGAGTGGACCCACAACTACTTGTGTCTCCAGGGAGATCCTACCCTTCTCACCTCAGATACACATACCGACATGTAATTAAAAATAATAAAAGTAAACCGTTAAAACCAAAAGATGATTTGAGACCTAATTGAAAGCTGGCCCTGGTAGCAAATTCTTGTAATCCTAGCACTTGGGAGGGGAAAGGTAGAGGATCAGGAGTTTAAAGCCAGCCTTTGTTACATGAGACTCTGTCTAAAATCTCCCACTATTTTCCCCAAAGCCCTAGTTGAATAGTTAATATTGTTCTAGAAAATCTGAGTTTTATGACCATTTTAATGTGATCAGATGTACAGAATCAATATATAGCTTTGTACAGTTAATTATCTTTTTCCCCAGAGAGACTGAAACTAATTAAAAAATTATTATATTGGTGCCTTATAGGAATTTTGCTTATATTTTTAAATAGTATGATTCTGAAGTTATCCAAGCAACTAAAAATTAGTCAGTATATAAATTATAATTGTCTCCATACCTCCCTGTAGAAGGCAGCAGATTCAGCCCAAGTCAAGTGCAGAAGTAGCAGGAAGTCCCACCCACCAAGACCTATTACACCTTCCAGTATTATTTTATTTTACATTTATAAATTGTGTTAGAGTAGGTGTGAGCACATTCATGTTATAGTGCACACGTGGAGGTGTGAGTACATTCATGTTATAGTGCACACGTGGAGGTGTGAGTACATTCATGTTATAGTGCACACGTGGAGGTGTGAGTACATTCATGTTATAGTGCACACGTGGAGGTGTGAGTACATTCATGTTATAGTGCACACGTGGAGGTGTGAGTACATTCATGTCATAGTGCACACGTGGAGGTTGTCAGGCTTGATCGCAAGCACCTTTACCAACAGGACTGCCTTGCCAGCTCCAGATTGTTGTTGTTGTGTCTTGTTTTGTTTTGTTGGGTTTTTGTTGTTGTTTTTGTTTTTTGAGACAGATTTTCTCTGTACCTTTGGAGCCGATCCTGGAACTCACTGTATAGACAAGGCTGGCCCCAAACTCACAGAGATCCTCGTACATCTGCCTCCCAAGTGCTGGGAGTAAAGGATGGCCTGCCACTGCCGAGCCAGTCCCAGTTTTTAACAGAAAAGTATCAACATGGGTATATTATTTGACTTTCTTAAAGATTATATATATTTTTCTAAACTAGTGAATTAGCTTTGAATGAATTACATTTTTGTTTTGTTCTCTGAGTTTCTGCTAGGAAAACTAACTGTATAAAAACAGTTTGCAGCTTAGTTACATTCGGCTGCTGAAGTTAAACTCAGAAACAGTTCTAACTGTTTGACTGAGAGACAATATCTTCTTCCGTTAGGATTCTGCACTCTGTAGTGCACATAAACAGGCCCAACACAGTACCAGATGACTACTGGATTAGAAATAAATACTACTTTGTTTTGAGAAAGGCTTATTTTTTGCTTGAGATGCTGTCTTAGTGTCTTGTGGTCTACTGTGCTAGACAAAGTTACTCCTTCACTTGGTGGGATGAGAAGTCTAATGGAGTGACCACACGTCCTCGTCTGTTTCCAGTTTTGGATTTTCCCTTCATCTCCTGGTCTAGTTACCAGTGTTAGTTATTTCGCTCTCAGAAGTACCCTTCTTTGGATGCTAGATTTGCTTGGTTTGCTTTGCTGGATGTTGTCTGTTTTGAGACATGATTTACTGTGCCTAGGCTGGGCTTGAATTCAAAATCCTGCTGTCTCAGCCTCCTGAGTGCTGGGAGTTACAGGTGTGTGCCACTATGACCAGCTCTTGGACAGTCGGCTTGGGTATTACAGGAGTGTTTCATGATAGTAGTTCCAGCCCATTAAAACCTCTGATGCTGGAAGACAGCCATTTGGCCTTTGGAAAAGCTAGGCGCCAGTGCAGAGAGAACCAGCAAATGAAGTATATGTGTAATCTCACTCTTCTACACAGCAGCAATATGGCACAAAGCAGAAACTCGCCCTGAGAGTTTTAAAGAGACATATTAAAAATTTCTTGTTGATATCTTCCATGAGCATAAGCATTATTAACCTTATTTGCAGGAATTTGTCCCTTTTCAGGACTATGTTCCTGTCACTCAGAATAGTACCTGACATAGTATGTACATTTTAAATGTCTTTAAATATTTAAAATATTTAAATATTTAATATGTCCTAAATACTTTACCCCTCTCTTCATTTTAAAGTTGTAAAGTCAAAAGTCTCTGCACTACAAATTTTATAATCTAGTGTACATTCAGTCATATAGATAATGATTAGAATACAGATCTGAAAGTATTGTGATGATTTAAAAACAGAGACGTCCCTGTAGTTCCCGCTCCTAGGAGGCAGAGGAATGAGAACCAAGGGTTCAGTGATAGCCCGAGCTACATGATGTCTCCAGAAACACACAGGTATAGTGAAGACACTGGAGATCTGATTTTCACTGTTCCCATTTTAATTTTACAAGCCAGGTTACTTAGAAGAAAAGCATTTGATGATTTAAAGCAGAAGCTTTCACTTACATAGTGTCACCAAGCATAACCTTTTACTGCTGATGCATAGGACAGAGGTCGAGGCAATGCCGAGAAGAATATATCAGAGCGAACAAGTAGCCAGATTCCCAGTCAATGATGATTTTTTCTGTGTCTGGTCGGCGTTGTTTATTCATTCAGCCAAACAACTGTTATTTGTGTGACTTTAAACTAACTTCTGTGAATATAAACTTTATAAATTAAAGACATTTAATATGTCCTAAATACTTTACCCCTCTCTTCATTTTAAGATAAAGGAACTTGGGTCTAGAGAGATGGCCTCCACCTCCCAAACAATGAGTTACAGGTATGCACTACCACATCCAGTTTTATGCAATGCTAGAGACTAAATCCAGGGCTTTGTGCGAGCTAAGCAAGCACTTTATCAATTGGGCAGACATATCCCCAGCCCTCTTGTCTTATTATGTGTAGAGTTTTAGTGACAAAGACTCAGCCAACAGCTTTCCTGGACAGTTGTAGGCTAGAATGATAGCTTTCTGTCTTGTTCACTGTTTTTCTGTTGATACAGTAGGTTTTTAGTCAGTTTTGTAAAATTATTTTTGGGGATGTGTTTGTGTATCTGTCTGCCTGTTTTGTCTGTCTACATGAGGTCAGAGATGTCTCATCCCTCTGGAGCTGGAGTTACAGGCAGTAATGATTCACCTGCTGTGGGTGCTGGGAACAGAATTTGGGTTCAGTGCAAGAGCAGTCTGTGTTCCTAGAGCCATCTCTCCAGCCCCCATGATTTTTAAGTCATTTTAAGTTGAAATTGAGGTAGTTCTAAATTTTGACATTCTGTACAATAAATTAGTTTGCTTTAGGGGGGAAGAAATTTGTCTTTGCCTGGGAAAGTTATGCCATTCAAATAGTTGAACAGAATGACCTTTTATCCCATTGATTTCTGTAGAGAAGCACGGGTATGCTTCAGGAAAGGTCAGTGGTTCTGATTGAAGCACACACAGATTTCTCTCTACTTTTTGTTGCAGGGATGATGATGAGATTTAGAGCTGACCATTTGTTAAAAGAGAACATAACTTGCTTACTCTGGCATGTTGCTGTTTTTCTTTTCTTCAGAAAGCATTATTTGAAATTTGAATCGACACTGTCCACAAACCAGAGTCTCTTTGTCCATGTATTTAATGCTTTCGTTTTCATTTCAGATGAAATCTAGGTTGAAATTTCCTTCTCTGGACTTGATTTGAAAAGGATAAAGAAATTAAAGGAAGAAAATTCATTAAGTCTTAGGTATTTATGGTTGGAATGTTCTTTCAACCAGGAACGGCAGGAGTTTAGAATTCATATCTGAAGTGGATTAGAGTATGTTTTAACTCTCATTCATGTATAAGAGAAACTGGCTGGAGGGTTTAATAAACTATAGTATACAAATCGAGAATTTACTGTGTCCTTTGGGAAAGTCGCTTGGCTGCCATATTTGTTCCAGCATGTATCACATCAGGATGAAGACGTTTTAAAGGTGCTTGAGCCAAGCCTGACAACTTCAGTTTGGCCCCCAGGTCTCCCGCATAGTGGAATGAGAGAACTGACTCCCCAGGGTTGCCCTGTGACCTCTGTAGGCAAGCTGTGGTCTGTGCATGCACACACAGACTCACACTCTGATTCTTGATCAATCCAGAAAATGAAGACAGGTTCAATCGTAGCACCTGGGAGCCAGAGTAGGCAGATCTGTATGAGTTTGAGGCCAATTTGGTCTGCATTGTGAGTTCCAGGCCAGCCAGGGCTGCATGATCAGATCTTGGTGCACCTGATAATAATAATAATGAGAAAGATTATTTTTTAGAGGCAGAATTTCAATATGTATCACAGACTAGCCTTAGATTTAGAGGTCTTCCTGCCTCAGCCTCCTCTGTTCTGGGAGTAGACATGTGACTACTGCACCTAGTTTAAGATGAAGATTCTTTTAAAAGAAAGAAATAATAATTATAGAACTCTCCAAGTGTGGCACCTACTTAATATTTAATACTACAAGGTTTCTTTTGTATATCCTGCTTAAAGTTGGTTGCTATCAGTATAAACTGGAACTAGACTGATGTTTCTATTATTCAAAATCAGTTTAAACAAAAGAAAAGCACTGCTGGGCAGTGGTAGCACACACCTTTAATCTCCCAGGACTGGGGAGGAAGAGGCAGACTGGCCTGCAGAGCGAGTTCCGGAATAGTCAGCCCGAACTAGCCTGTCTTGGAAAACAAACAAACAAACAAACAAAAATCAGTAATAAATAAATAAAAATTGTGATTAAGGTTAGTTTTAGCTTTTCAGAGCTTTCTGTTCATATTCGTTCTACAGGAAATAGTTCGATACGATGAGTTCTTGGTTTTCCTAATCCATTTAGAGGCACTGATTTTCTGTGAAAGTATATAGCATCTGTAGTTCCTTGCATATAGAGAACATTGTGTTCTTCCGTTGAATAGGAAAGCTAGCCTGCTCTACATTTGAATTCTAGATAGTTTTTTTCCTTTGAGACAGGGTTTCTCTGTAGTTTTGGAGTTTGTCCTGGAATTAGCTCTTGTAGACCAGGCTGGCCTCAAACTCACAGAGATCCGCTTGCCTCTGCCTCCTGAGTGCTGGGATTAAAGGCATGTGCCATCTTGCCCATCTAGGTAATTTTTATGTGACTGTAACACAACTTTTCTATTGTGCTCAACTTGAACTGCTTCAGTGATTAGCCCAATGCATGCTTGGCCATATTTTATTTGGACATACTTGCATAACCTTGTAGTGTAGAGGAAGAGTTTCTAATAGTTTATGGACTCAAATACTTATCATTCTGTGTGTTATGTTTCTTTTGGTTTTGTTTAATTGTTTTAATTCTCTATATGTGTTGGTACATGTGGAAGCCAGGAGTCAACATCAGCTGGATTCCTCAGTTGCTCTCCACCTAGTTTTTCTGTTCTGTTTGAGACAGGGTTCCTCTATGTAACAGCCCTGTTGTTTTGAAGCTTCCTTTGTGGACCAGGTTGGCCTCAGACTCACAGAGATCCTCCTGCCTCTACCTTCGGAGTGCTGAAATTAAAGGCGTGTGTGTGTATGTGTGTGCCCGTGCGTGTGTGCGTGTGTGTGTGTGTGTGTGTGTGTGTGTAAAATAAGACGATTATTCTATGTTTATTTCAAAATCCTTGCTAGGCAATGGTGGCACACACACGCCTTTCATCCCAGCACTTGGGAGGCAAAGGCAGAAACACCTTTGTAAATTTGAAGCCAACCTGGTCTACAGAATGAGTTCCCGGGACAGCCAGAGCTGTTATACACAGAGAAACCCTGTCTTGAAAGACCAAAAAGAAAAGAAAAAGGAAAAATCCTTGTGATTAATTTAGACTTTGCTCGCCTGAGGTCAAAGAAGAAAAATCTGTTGTGCCAGAAGCTGACTCCTAGGTTTGAATATCAGCTTTACCTCTTACTGCTTATGTGATCTCGGGGCATGCTTCCTAATCTCTCTGTGCCTCAGTTTCCTCATTAATAAAATTTAAATAATAGTGGTACCTGCCTCAGAGTTATTTTGAAGATTAAGATGAGATGGATGGACAGGAGAGCATTTGGAACAGTGTGCGGCAGCGAGTGCTGGAAGAGTAGTCAGGGAAGGTCACCCAGGAGTAGACCTCATTGAGACCTCAAGGTAGCAAGGTGTGTTCATCCACAGGTCTGACTCATTAACATAAGCGGGTGGACTCAAATATATTTATAATCTGATCATATTTACTGTCTACTCCTCCCAGCTACCCACCACCACCACCAGATTCCATTTCCTTAAAGAAAACTGACTTCCTCTCTCCAAGAAATAAATCATCAACTGTAAAGAGCCCCTCCATTATAAAGGCAAGCTGATTGGCTTGATCTCATTCGGGTCTGTGTAGGCGACTGCTGGGAGTTGATGGTGCCCAGATGGACTTTTGCAAAAGTCTAGAAATAAACCTACTCTGCATGTGGTGGGGAAAGTTTTAAGTCTTTTCTTTTTGTAATTTTTTAAGTTTTATTTTTATTACTTTTATTTCTGTGTATGAGTCTGGTTCATGCCCAGAATAGGCCATTGATCCCCTGAAGTCCTCATGAATAGTAGCAATTGCTCTTGATCTCTGAGCTATCTTTCCAGTCCCTGAGTTTTATTTTTTTTTATTATGTGTATAAGTGTGTATGGGGAGTGTATTTTCGTGTAGGTGCAGATGCCCATGGAGGCTGGAGTGAGAGTTATGGGTGGCTATAAGCTGCCCAGTTCTTCTGTAAGAGCAGGAAGCACTGAGTCATCTTTCCAGTCCCTGGAAGAGTTTTTTTTAATGACTTATTTTTATATTTTGTGCATTGATGTTTTGCCTGCATGTATACCTGATGCGAGGGTGTTGGGTCCCCTGGAGTTACAGACAGTTGTGAACTTTCATGTTGTTCTGGGGATTAAACCAGAGTTCCCTAGAAGTGCAGCCAGTGCTTTTAACCACTGAGCCATCTCTCTAGCCATATAATAATAGACTTTTGTAAAAGTAAGATTATTTTTTAATTTTTTTTATTTTTAGCTGGACTGGGGAGATGTCTCAGCTTGAAGAGCACTTGCTGCTCTTCTAGGCTATCCGGGTTTGATTCTGTAATGCCAGTCCCAGGAGATCCAGCACCCCTTTTGGTGTCTGCGGGCACCTAACATTCATGAGCATGGATATACATTCAGGCAAAACACCCACACACATAAAAATAAGCATTTCTTTAAAATAAAGTTTTAGAGGTGTTAGCTCTTAATTTGGAGTAGTTCTGTGTTCTTTAACCTTGGTTCAGCTCAGCTCAGCAGCACTCCTAAACCTGCAAACCTCTGTCCAGACCAACTCCGCAATAGCTCTCTCTTCCTCTCCATTACCTTTACCAAACCTTTCTTACATGTAGGAATTATGGCATAAATTGCTCCATCAGCCTGAAACCTCAAGAGCCTCCTCCCTGTAGCAGTTTTGCCGTCTCCTTTAGGGCTTTCCTGTCCTCTGGAAGATCACCCAGGCCTTAGTTCGTTATGGAATCCTAGGGTTGTGTTAAAAAGAGCCTGTTTAAAAATTCTCACTCAGATTTTTCCCTTCTCTCCTTTTAAGAGAGCCACTACAGCTGCAACAACTTTTTCACACCAGCTCTTTGAAGCACTTCTGTTCCTGATGAGATTGGGGGGCAGTGGGGGGAGGCCTCCACTCTAGTCTTTTCACCTCTCTATTAAAATATAAATATATCTAAAACTCGCCAGCTGGCGCAAAGGAAATGCCATCAGGTTCTCAACTTCAGAGGATCAGATCTACAAAGGCACACCTAATTTGAGCCTCTGAAAAGCCTGAGAACCCTATTATCATCCCCAAACTGCTTAGCCTTCTGCTTAACCTTTGATTGTGAGCTGTCTGCCGAACTTAATTCAGGTGTGAGGGTTTAAGGAAACTCGTGGGACTGTATTTATTTGATCATTTCTGTCATGTCCCGCTGTTGTTACTCCACTTCTATTTTTTTAGGATGCATGTGTTATGTGGGGACCTGGAGGTTTCAGAAGCCACTATAAATATATCAGACTCACCTTAATTGGAGGATGTGGGGAATCAGTGGGGCGCTTAGCTACTTCACAGAACAGCTGTGTCTCCTGCTATCAAGTCTACTCGAGCGCAGTACCTCAGGAAACTTAATAGACCTAACACTAGCACAAGTCTGCATTTTATCAGCGTGCTCTTTATTTCTATGCTACTGGTTCTATGCTTTTGCTCTATGCATGTTGTTAAATATTAATACCCCTGGATCACATAATTGGCTGTAGGTTTACTGTTACATGTCTAATTAGAGCTCTTTTCCTCTTACTGGTGTTCACTTAGAGGAGGCAGGAAAACCAGATGGTAGAAAATAGGATTAGGTTGTACTGGGCCTGGGGTGAAAGCTACTGAGGAGGCTGAGTTAGAAACTGCAAGGCCTGCCTAGACTACAAAGTAAGTTCAAGGCCAGCTGTTTTTACTACTTTAGTCCATTTATGAGGGAGGATTGCTCATATGGAGGCTGAAGAACACTTGCAGAAATTGGTCAATCTAGCCTGGCGGCAGCTGCCTTTACCCCACCATACCACTTTACCATCCCTGGGTTTGACTTTGGATGTGTGTGCTGCTCGGTTGCAAGATGCTAACTAACCACTGTGAGCCCACGGCTGCAGGACTCTTTTTCCAGTGCCAGGAACCCACACAGGAAGTTCCCTCAGTTCTCAGAGATTGACTCTTGGAATGAAACCAACTATATATAGACCTACTTCTTAAAGTGACAAGTCCTGTAGAAAACTTTGTTCTGACTCAAGAACTTTTTGGCCATATGTGACTGAACTCTAAAGAAAACGTATTTTCCAGTCAGAAAATTTCACATAAGACTGCATTAATGCGTGAACAGTGGGAGCTGGAAAAATGAGCCATCCCAGTGGTTAAGGGCATCAGCTGCTTTTCCAGAGGACCCGGGTTCAATTCCCACCACCTACAAGGTGGCTCACGGCCATGTGTAACTCCAGTCCCAAGAGATCTGACACCCTCTTTTGGCCTCCATGGGCACCAAGCTTGCATGTGATACACGTGTGAGCAAAACACCCATACACATAAAATTAAACAAAAACAAAAAAAAAATGTACTATAAGGCCAGAAAGTTAAAAAAGATAACTAAGTGAAGAGCCAGGAGTGGGCACATTTATAATCTCAGCACTTGGAAGGCTAAGACAAAGAGGCTAGCCTGGACTACAGAGTCTTACCTCTCTTACTTAAGAGTGAGTAGTTTTTCTTCTTTTTCGGCAGTGATGCTCTTTTGAGGTCACACTGGCTTAGAAGAACTTTGTTGAATGGTTCTCAGTTTCCTTTTTACCTGCCATGTTCAGTTTGCCTGGAGTCTTCCCCTACTTCACCCCCACACGCACCTGGTAGGAGGAGAGACTGATGGGAGGATAAGAGCACAGTTGGACATTTGTATTTCAAGCAGCCCTGAGTTCCCGCTGCCCTGCCCAGCTTGCTAACCTTGAGAAGGTTAGTGTTCTTCTCGATGAGAACGAAGCCTGCACTCTTCCTCCCAGAGTGAATGAATAATGCAGAGCGCCCGGCACAGCTCCTGGCACTAATGTTTAATAAACTCCTCACCCTTCTCTCTGGAACGATGATTGGGGTGACTGCAACCCCGTTCCTTCCCCCTTTGTGCCAGACTCCATGTGATTCTAAACCTCAATGTCTGAATCCTGGCAAGAACAGCGTTGTGCCGATTTTATCTGCAAAGAAATGTGAAAAGTTACGTAACAAACCTAATGTCACCGAGCTGGTAAATGGCAGTCAAGACTGTAACCCTGATCATTGGGGCTCTACATCACACCACCTTCCCACTGGCTAAATCTGTTCAGCCTCTCATTTTCAAAGATCAGTTTGCAGGCCTTTTTCCTTCTGAAGTGTAATTATTTTTGCTTTTAGCTTGTCGTGTGGTTTTATATTTCTGGGGTTTGCTTCATCTTTTAGCAGACAGGGTATAGTTGAGGACAAGGGTGGAGTCTAGCACCAAAGGTCTGCTTCAAGCTAGATGTGACCTTTGATTCATCATTTACCCTTCCCTTCTAAACCTTTCGCTTCCTTACGTGGTGATTTTGGTAACAGGACTGACTTCTTGGAGTTAGTGGACAAGACAAAGCAAAATAACAAAATGTCAAGCATTTAGCAACTGTTTTTCCTTTTCAATCAAACAACTGTGTCCGTGTGCAAAACTCCAGCTTCCTTGTCCTTGTGCATCATTTTGTATACCAGTGTCCGTCTCTCTCCAGTCCCGTGACTGTTTGCCTTGCATTCGTGTGTCTTTTTTCTCTGTCCCGTCATTGAGCCAGCATGCTCTCTACACCCACTTGGTACCCAGTCAGTATTTATTGATGTTAATGATGATGGTTAAACAAAGATGCTCTTGGCATCAGTCCTGCAGCCTCTGAGACTGCTTGAGTAATCATGACTTCCTAAAAACAGAAACGTTCAATCATCATACTCTAATCGAAGGTCAGAATTTAATGTCAGCGTTTGTTTCTGTGGTGATTGTGCCGCTTTTTATCTGCAGCATTATCTCTGACAGTTAGGGCACTCGGGGTTTCTGGCATGAAGCTGATTATTCCTGCGTTCTTAAATTACTTCCTGAAGGAGATGTAGCATCCTAGAGGTAAATGTGTTGAATAAATATTGATCATAGTTCAAATTTGTTTTAATTGGAGCATGAGGTCAGGGAAAGCTCAACATTGAGGTGTTTGTTGTTGGAGAGCCCTCTTTTTTCTCTTCCCTTCTGTCCTGCCTCATTTGCTTGATCCTGAGGTTTCTTAACCCCGCCCTCTTCCTCTAATTCTGTCCTAAGCCACCTTTGTGGGAATCTGGACAGTGTTCACTCGGAGCTCAGCCCCTGACACATGAGTGTGTACTAGCTAAAATGTCCTGTCATCAGGGTTGAGTTTCTAACTCAGTTTATAGCTGATTTGTTTGCATGAACTTTTTAAGGTTTCCCTTTGTGTAGGAGTACATGCACACGGTGCTGTTGCCTGTGGAGGTCCAAAGAGTTGGGCAGCAGAGTCCCTACAGTTGGAATTACAGGTTGGGTTCCAGAAAAAAGAATTCAGCCCATTTACAAGAGTAATACATGCGCCTAACCACTGAGCCATCACTCCAGCCCCATAATTTTCATGCCAAGATTTTTTTTAATAAAGAGATAAAAAGGGGCTGGAGAGATGGCTCAGTGGTTAAGAGCATTGCCTGCTCTTCCAAAGGTCCTGAGTTCAATTCCCAGCAACCACATGGTGGCTCACAACCATCTGTAAAGAGGTCTGGCACCCTCTTCTGGCCTTCAGGCATACAGACAGAATATTGTATACATAATAAATAAATATTTAAAAAAAATAAAGAGATAAAAAGTGTGAATTTCTTTTGCAGAGAAATGTGAGACAGTAGCCAAAATGAAAATGCCCTTCACATGACCTTTCACTTGATAGAAAGTAAAGATTGCTATTTCTTTTTCCTTTTCCTTCTGTCTGTTGGATTGATTGGGTTTGGGTCCTGGAGACTGAGCCAGTGCCTTGTATGTATTTTTCTAATGAGCTGCATCACCCGCCTTCGTATTTTGAGACCGAGTCTCACTGAGTTGTACAGGCTGACTTGAATTTACAGTGTGGTACACACAGGACTCAGACTTGAAGTCCTCCTGAGGACTCATGGCGTCACTAAGCTCCATCCCTGACCCAAAGAGTTAACAGTGGTAGCCGCACTTCTCTCCCCCTGCCACTGCTGGGGATGGGATCCCAGGGCCCTAACACTGTCTAAGCAAGCAGTTTTTTTTTTTGTTGTTGTTGTTTTTTTTTGTTTTGTTTTTTCGAGATAGGGTTTCTCTGTGGCTTTGGAGCCTGTCCTGGAACTAGCTCTTGTAGGCCAGACTGGTCTCCAACTCACAGAGATCCACCTGCCTCTGCCTCCCGAGTGCTGGGATTAAAGGCGTGCGCCACCATTGCCCGGCTAGCAAGCAGTTTTTAATGAAGGTAAATCCCTAGTCCTACTCTAATAATTCCCAAACTTATATTTTATTTCAACTTTGACTTCTCATCTAAGGCTTAACTTAATATTTCCAATAATCTAATTTATAATATTTTCTTTTTTTCTGTTTTTCTATCAAGGGCCAATAACCAACCCCTCTATTTTACCACAGCCCAAAATTTCCCTGGAATATCTTGTCACATAAACAATAAACAAACAAATAAATGTTAACATATATACATGGAGGGGGCACACTCTTTTTAGTTTTCTCAAAAGTATTTTAATAGAGACTGAGTGGTTTGGGTAACCACATATGATTCATAGATGGAGAGAAAATTTTTCTGGTTTTTTTTTTTTTTTTGGTTTTTCAAGACAGGATTAGCCCTGAAGACCAGACTGGCTTCAGACTCTATCTGCCCGCCTCTGCCTCTCGAGTGCTGGGATTAAATGTGTTTTCCACCACTGCCTGGCTGAAAAAAATATTTCTTGAGTTGTCAAGAGTTTTATAATTTGCCTAACAGGATAAAATGAGTAAGTTTGGAGACAGAGGATACTCAGGAGGTAGAAGTGGACAAAGATAGTAAAATAGATATGTTCGTTGAGGTACTTTTTAACCTTGGTTCTTTTTCAGATAGGGCTGAAGGGTTGATGGAGGAAGGTCATTGGTTAAATAAAAAGAAACTGCTTGGCCCTCATTGGTTAGAAGATAGGTGGGAGGAGTAAACAGAACAGAACGCTGGGAGGAAGAGGAAGTGAGCTCAGACTCCACAGCTCTCCTCTCGGGAGCAGACGCCTCAGAGAGACGCCATGCCCTGCTCCCAGGCAGACGCACGACCCAGGATGGACATAGGCTAGAATCTTCCCGGTAAGACCGGTGCTACAGTTTATTAGAAATGGGTTGATCAGGATATCAGAATTAGCCAGTAAGGGCTAGATAGAAATGGGCCAAGCAGTGATTAAATGAATACAGTTTGTGTGTTGTTATTTCGGGCATAAGCTAGCCAGGCAGCCGGGGTGCTGGGGACACAGCCCCGCCGCCCCTATTTACTACAAAGGGTAGCATGATTTGATCTATCAGTCTGCTGCTCATCACTGAGAAGGCAGGCCAACACTGTTACGAGTAGATTTCAGCGCATATTGTGCTAGCACCTTAGCCACTCCCAGCCTCTGTATACTGTGTCTCTAAATAGGAATAGTTGCAAGTTAGTTAGGAATGAAATGACACAGAAGCAAATACAGGTTTTCTAATTTGAAAAAAAAAAAAAGGCCAAGACTTTCTGCTTTAGTCCTCATAACCTGTAACTAAAAGTTCAGAATTCAAGCATGCTTTATTTCAAACTAGTCTGCAGCCCTGGATGGTTTTTATTGTCAACCTGGCACAGGCTAGGGTCATCTGAGAAGAAGGAACCTTAATTGAGAAAATGCCTCCTTAAGATTGGCCTGTAGGTCAGCCTGGGGGAGGCACTTTTCTTGATGCTTGATGTGGAAAGGCCCAACCTATTTTGGTTGATGCCACTTGTGGGCTGGTCCTGGCTGTATAAGAAAACAGACTGAGCAAACCAGTAAGCAGCATTTCTTCATAGCCTTTTCACCACTTGCCACATCCAGGCTCCTAGTTTAAGGTCCTTCCCTGACTTCCCTGCATGATGACACCCTGCATACATACATAATTTTAAAATAATAAAAATAAATCCTTTTACAAAAAAGAAAGAAATGTAAGATACTTTATGCTGACAGGAAGTGTGACCTGGGGTAAGTCACATAAACCCTCTAGCCTAGGTTTGTATGCCTGTTAAGTAACATCCTCTGGTAATCAGTATTTGAGAAAGCAGTAAAGGAGTTTGAAATGGTAACTTTTGAAAGGAAATCAACTCCTTAAGGCAGCACAGAGGCTTTGTCGTCTTCAGCACCTGAGCTGAAGAGCTGCAGTGCCTGCTCCCAAACTCACCCATTTGTCGCTCATTTGCATCATTCATTTTCCTGAAACAAATCAGAACATTTTGAAATTCATATTTCATGGAGCTACTTAACTAATTGCCGCAATCAGCAGCAATTTATTTTATACCAGGGCTGTTCAAATCACTCTGAGGTTGGCTCACCATGCACAGTGTGTTTTTAACGGTCTTATTTTTAATGACAAGTTTTTATCTAGGAAATGGTTAATCTGCTGATATTCTCCTGGAAGTCCAAGCTCTGGTTCTGTAGGTCATTTTCACCCAGTCATAACTTAAACGACCATAGCAAAGCCATTGACTCAGTA